CACCCAATCAATCTCAATCTCAATCTCAATCTCAATCTCAATCTCAATCTCAATCTCAATCTCAATCTCAATCTCAATCTCAATCTCAACCTCTCTCTCTCTCTCTGCCACCACTCTCTATCCACCTGCCCGAGGGTCAGAGGCGCACCCACCTCTGCAAGAGAAGAGACAAAGTACCCAAGGGCTTCCACACTGTTGTGCTTGGTGGAGGGACTCAGGTCAGGGCCCCCACCTACGGCAGATGCTTCAGGCCTTAGAAAATTCTGCACCTATGATTTTTCTAATATATACTTTTATTCGGAGAGTTCTTTTTTTTAAACACATAACTTTAAAGAATCTCAAACATATACGAAATTAGGCAGATCAGTTAAACGAGTCGCCCTGTACTGCCACCCAGCTTCGATAATGACGGAGTCATGACCAATCTTGTTTCTGTCCCCATACATTCTTCCCTCCATTTGATTCTGCAGCAAGTCCCAGACATTTAACCATTTCATCTCTAAATATATCAATAAATACCCTTAAAGTGTATGAACTCAGAACTCCTTTTTAAAAAACTGTGGCCAAATGCTGTCATCACACCAAAATCTTAAGTCATGTTTATGCTAATACGATAATTGATTTCTGGCTTCATTATTCTATTTTTCACAAGATAAAATCTAACCAGAATTTAAAACATATCTCCAGTATACTTAAATAAAAATTCAAATAGAAAATAAGAGCTCCAATTTGAGATTTTTTTCCTTAATCTATTTTTAAATTATAAATTAACATAGATGTTAAAATCTCGAATAACTTCCTTATGAAAATAGCAATAGAAACTGAAACAATGGAGCCCTTTCTACTCCTATTTTTCTTCAAAAGGAGAATATTTATTCAGCACCCATCATATGCAAAAGACTCTCAGGAGGTTGGGCAGTTCACTTAACTTCCCCAGTGAAAAGAAATAAGCAGACGAAGCCCCAACATGCCCCACACTGCGGGCATTCGGCTGAGTGAGCCCCTGAACTCAGGTGGGTCTCCCTTTAAAGTCCATGTATTTCTACTTCCACACACAGGTAGCTTCACTGTAGCAAGATTATTAAACTCATAATTAGAGATGCCCCTTACCAGAATCACAGAACGACAGACTGCGCCTGCGAAGGCCTCGTCACCACTGTACAGATAAGTTCCCAGAAGCCTAGAGACGTGAAGTTACTTCCCAAAGTCACTCAAGCTGGTAAACTGCGAGGGCCAGGAACAGAATCGCGTTTCATGTCTTTGAGGAGTACCCCTTGCACACTGCCTCACCTCTAGTGTAATAGTCCCAGGACTCTTCTACCTGCTTTAGTCCTTTCTTAATAACATGTCAGAACATCCGGGGGGGCCAGCATTTGGGAAGCTCTTGAAACTGGAGGGCACAAGCACCAAGGGTCACAAAGTAATTCTGACATTCCTTGCTGTGCCCCTGAAGTGTGTCACAAGAGCACACGCCCTTCCCACAGACTGCTTGGCAGCATGTGCTGTATTACCGCCAACACTGAAGAAAACTGAAGGCGCATTTCAGGAGACTGCCATAATTATCTCCTTAGATATCACAAAACTAAGGATGCAAGAATCAGAGAATGCCAAACAGAAGGAAGGTGCACAGAACTGGGGTCAATAGGTCAGCATTATCTATCCAGGTCGCCAGCATACCTTTCCAGGCCCCATGGGTACAAGATGAAGACCTTGGCCACCATTAAGAATGTGTAGTTTCAATATTTTTAATTTTTACTTTTATGTTCACAACATACCTGTTAGGTAGATGGAGCAGGTTTATAACTAGTTATTGACTGGTTTCATAGTTCTCACCATGCTAATTGTAATGCCTGGATGAGTTAAATAAAGCAAGTATTTACTGTACACTAACCATGTGCCAGGAACCACCAGGAAAATTTAAGAGTTCTTGTTCTCTACGTGCTTACAGTCTGACTGAAGAAATATGACCACATACAAGCAGAGTGGCTAACCTAGGCCTATTTCACAGTCTTTCTTTAAGCTCTAAAATATGCTCATAAGGTCCTGAATTCCCTTGAGGGTTGGGGGGGACACACAGAGATCAGCTGAGAGCATAAGACCTAAGGGATTATTTACAGAAAGGAGAAAATAAACATATGCCTTCATGCTACATGGAAGCATGCAGTCCATGTAAAGTACAATTCTTTACAATGCACCAGTAGCCTGAAAGGCAGACTAACTTTCCTTCCCCAAAAGTTAACTGGAGGTTAATGTCCGTGTCTTATAAATAGGGTCTCAAAACTAAGTTTTCCAGAATAATTTCAGAGTCCAACCAATGCACCAGCTTCAGGCTTTCTCATTCATTGCTATGATACATAATGCATTTCTATCACTTTTTGTTCACTGTAACTAACATGTCTCATCTTTTGCCAAAGCCATAATCACACATGTGATTAATCTCACCACTGTTTACATTTTCTTATGGAGAATTTAACTTCAACCAGCCTTAATAGTGAGGAAAGAGTCTTGTAAGACAGACATAAAAAAATCTTCAGAATTCAGCACTTCTTATCTAAAAACAGTTCTGAGAATCCGAAACTATATAGTTTATTATCCAACCCATTATCACCAATGAAAAAACTACTAAAGTAACCAAAATGAAGTTCACTAAAATTCTAGATTTCATCTCCAATTTTAAAGAAGAGTTGATTTAAAATATTATACATTACTAAGTAAAAATTATTGAATTCTGTAACTAGTTGTCATAGTACATTTCATTAAATATTGCTGGCTGCTTCTCCTGAAGCTTTACTATAAAACAAAATGAAATATCCATTTTTTTATTTTATAAGTACTCAAAAAACTAACATCAAGTTTCTACATCCTTCCAAATATACAGTCTAAATTAGGGTTAAAATACCAATATCAACTCCATTCACAAGGAGGAAAATTGATTTTAATAAACAGGCATTAAGTACAACCTATGAACGTACAATTTTCCATTTCCGTATTTGAGGACAGAAAAATACTTTTTGTAAATGTCATATGAGGTTCTTATTCACACGATGAAAACTCTGGAAATATTGGCTTTTGTTTTTTATGTGTACCTAAATCTTTCATGCAAACCTTACTTTAAAACTGAAAAATAATACTAAAGGAAGAGTCATATTTAGATATCATTAAAGATTCCCAGGACTAGTGACAATACTACACTATCCTGGCCTTGACTTGTGGCCCAGGTAGTATTTTCTGACTTTTTCTGTGCTTTTTTGTCTTCCACCAACAGGCATGACTTGAGTGGATTTACTGGTATTTAAGTTGAAGAATATACGTACTATGAAATAAAGAACAACATTGTGAAATATACTGTTTTTTCAGTTTTCCATCAGCAGTGAAAAAAAGACTATCCTCTCTGAATGGGATGTCATGGTCAGTATCACTTGGTAAACTTAAATGTGGTTGTGCAGAAATATATTCCATTAAACTGATGCTAATGCATTCAGATGACAAACACAGAACTCCAAAAAATAAAACAAATCTTCCTGTGGATAGGTTAAAAAAAAAGATAAGAACTATGTAGTTTGGAGGACACAGAGTTTAACTTGATGATTCAGGCTAGAAAATCCAGGTGAAACCGTAGCTCTCTCTAAAGATTTGTCTGCACTGAACAAATAATATGAATAACTGCCACGTAGCCTTTTCTTCCATGATGGTCTATTGCCTAAGTCTGGAGTTGAACTATGTCATCAGTCATAATGTCATGCACAGAACTGTGGAGACGTGTTTCGGGTGGGCAGAGTCCACAAAGTTAATTTCAGAGCCATTGCAGTCAACACCGAACATACAGGTGAAACGATATCTTCTCCACGACAGTGGTGTGTTTCAGACACAGGCTGACACTGAAGAAGGGAAATACGTATTGAGATGTCAAACACCCTGCCACACACTGCCCAGGAATGAGGAAGGTATTGGAGCCACCTGTAAACACCACCATCCAGATCCATGCCTTCAGATGTCCTCGTCAGAAGTCCTTTTGGTTCAAAAGTATTCTAACCTCTAGAATGTGATCCCAGAGGAACTGACACATGCCGACTTTCATAACAGTGATATTTTATTCACATTTCAAGTTTATTTTGATTTTTCAATTACAAAATAATGTAAATGTTTAGTTTTGATTTTTTGAATAAGCGATACACTAATAAGATTATTTATGTAATTTATGTCCTTTCTTCAGGCACCTGCCCTGCAGCAGTGGTGGTGGTTTAATAAGATAGGTAGTAGGTAGGTAGTGTGCACTTGGATACAGAGCAATGCTTGCTCACGTAAATACAAAATGTGGTCAGCTGATGCTGCAAATGATCACACTTATAATTTTAACTGATGAAGCTATAAATGTTAACAATTATAAAGTCACCAACATCCTTTTTTAAGGAATCTAGCTGTGCTCTTAAACTTTTATATTTTTAGTAGCCATAAATTAATTTGTCAGTTTGGCTATACACCATTAAATAAGCTTTCTTTTGCTTTTATGCTCTTTCAAACTCAGTGACCTCAATTACATCAACCATTCCCTCTCCTCGTGGCATGAAGGATAAATACAAATGTCAAAAGAGAAATCCATCCAACCAAAAGTAACATTCCCCCACCTGGACGCTGTAATTCCCTAACTAAGAAAGAACCAAGGTAATCTGACCTTCAGGTTATATTCCCATTCTATTTTTTTTTTAATACTTCCTCTTTGCTTTGGGTTTTTATTAGCTTTTCAAAACATTCACCAATTTAAATAAAGCCATATGGTTCTTATAAGGTCACTAAACCTTCCTAATTTCAGGAAGTTATCTTTTCCAGGTTAGTAATATTTGAGGTTGCAAATGGGTGAGAACCACCGAGTCTCAGATAATTTTACTCAAGAGAATAAAGCTTAGGCAAGCGAAAAATCCTGCGGACCTCGGGATGCTCTGGAAATGATTGCCACTGTCATAAAGAGAAGGGGGGCAGTGATGTCAGAAACTTCTGCTTACCCCTTGTTCAGATTCCAAAAGCTCTGTTTTGACTCTGACTGCTGGCATCCCATCAAGCATTAACATTCTGTTTTCAGAGGTGGTGGTATTCTGGGAATCAAAAAGAGACAGAGAGAAGTTTAGCTTTAAAGCATTCAAAGGAGGACATCTGCTAGAGCCTGCCTGCGTTGCAGTACATTTAGTACTGCTAACCTAATTTTTTAACAATGAAGCATAATTAAATGAGAGTATCAGCATAACCAATTATCTGCTCATTCTGAACTTTCATTTGAAATAATGACCACGACGTTAAATTAATCAGTCTGATTCTCTGACCCCAGGGTTGGAGGTCAGACTGTAATAAACCGCGTAAGGAAACCTTACGTTAATTTATAAGGGGCTGAAACAATCCATCACACTTTTGCAGTAGTGGAAAGAAATATAAGGCAAGTTTCTTTCTTCCTTAGTTCTGGAGGTTGTTCAGCATACAGAAATCCATAAAAAAGAAAATAAAAAGAACTTCTATATTCTCAAGTTATTGTCTCAAACTATTAAAAACAAGATAATATAGTCCTAGACACATTGAATTTTGGTGTCATGGCAATTCTGATCAAATGAAAATTTTAACATATCAATCCCAAACATCTTTAAAAACAATTAACATAAGTCTTAGATTAAGAGTGAGTTTTTAAGCTGAAGTCATAACCAAAGAATAAATAATTTGGTTTTTGTTCTAGTATATGTTGGGCTCAATTAGCCTAACCTCTGGGAGGAAAACCTAATTCTCTTGTGGCTCAACAGAATTTCAAACTATAGAAAAAGGTTAAATCAAGGTTATTTTCTACTAATTTTCACTGCTTTGGGGATGTTTTGAAGTGAATAACCTATGAAGGTAGTCAGAAAGCCTCATATCAGTGCTTGCTTAAGGCCAAAATCATCAAGTTCGTGTTTTAAAACATGTTTAGAATGCCAACTTTACCCTCATATACCGATGAAACTAAAAACTGAAATGACTAAATTTGACTGAGTTTTTAGAACGGTTCCTTTGCTCAATTATAGAGCGAAACCAAATGACACCAAAGTGGTTTTATTAAAAGAAAAAGACATCCGTTTCTAAATATTTTGCCCACCTGGTGACAAAGGTTAATATCATTTTTAAATCTCAGGTTTATAGTTTTTCATATAGTAGCTTCTTTTCTACCATAAAGTTAAATAAGAACAACGTCCACTTCAATAAATCATAAATTAAATGGTTTTTATTACCAAATAATACCAACAGAGTGCAGTATGGTGAAGCTCTAATTATTTGTCCTATTTCTCCATTCCTCTTTTTGTTTAAGAAAAATACTCTAAGAAATAAAATTTATAGGGTCTCATCACAAATATTTGCTGTGACAAATCAACAAGAAGGAAACGCAAATTTATTCCAGAGTTAACTGAACATTTACAAATTCCACAGTATCTAATCTATTAGGTAATAAAAAGAAGAAAATAAATGACTGCCATGTTCTTTTCTTAGAAATGTGCAATATTATTAAAATTGGCAGGACACTGTTTTTTAATCTTTGCTTTTAACTCATCTGTATTTGTTAGGGATTTTGCATCCTAATAGATAGCCTAGAGCAGAAGGAACTTTGGTATTACTGGCAAGCTCAGTTAATTTGTTCCAAGCTTAAAATCCTTTCATGGAGGCTGGTGAGTTGTTTACACATCAGGCGTGGATCTCACATCCTAATGAGGCGCCTGCTCCGGTGGTTGGAAGCGGCAGCCTGGCCTGCCACCATCCAGTCCCAGGAAAGCCTTCCAGCAGCGACCAGCCCTAACCCCCAACCCCCCTGCCTCGCTCAGCAGCCGGAATCTGCCGCAACAAAGCATCCCGTAGGCTGTTTGGTGGGTAGACAATGAAGGATGAGTTGATATTGCTCCCTACCCCAGAGGAGGTCTTGTTCAGAGGAAAAGGGAAGATGCTTTGCAAAAGGGGGGAAAAGACAAAGAGCGTCCTGGAAAGGCAGGTTTAATGAACTGTTAGAATCTGATTAGAGGCTAATGTCCCTTTTAGTGCTTTGTACCAATTTACAGCTGATATACTTTAACCATTTTCCTCACTGGCTGTGATAAACTCATTAGTTTAAAAAATGCAAGCTAACCAGAGTCTTTGAGGTTAAAACTGTTAAATCATGAAAACCTGACTGGGTTCATGTTCCATTGAGCACATTTAAATATCACTGTATTTTCATGATGGTTTTCTTTTTATTGTTGTTCTTGAATAATTCTACATGTATTAAAGAAGGGTGCACATTTTAGCTTCATGTTAAAGTAAAAAAATAAAACACATTTTCAAAAAAAAATTTAAGAAATTAAGTTTTTCCTGGAAATATTTCTCTTTACATGATTTTCCAAGGTCATTCACAGCCACACCCATAATAAACACCATAAATGGCAATGCTCACCACTAAGGAACCAATCCTTAACTATTAAACTCTTCCAAGTAGTGCAGATTCAATCTGTATATATGCCTGAAAGTTATATTGTAAATATATATGAGGCATATTAATCTCTGCATTCATTATTCTAACCCTGTTTAGCATAAACGTAAGCACTGAGCATCACAACATATTCTAGACCATTCAGAAAGGTATAGATGGCTTTTATAGAGCGCATGGTAACTGTGAAGCATTCAGGATCCAGTCCTTGGGGAAAAATATTGATGGATTTATCTCTCTAAGCTAAAATCAGATACATACACTCTCATTTGACTGTAGACTTTAAATATGTAATAAACTCTAATAATTTGAAATTGCTGTCAAACATATCTTGCCATGATATTAATCAAAACACATTTGCTGTGGAATCAATAGCTCAATTGAGTCCCAAGAGGTAAATAAAATTACACAGTCATCAATTGTAGTAACATGGTCCTCTTTGTATATTTATGTTGTAGCAAATATTTTGATATTATACAACCCTATATAATTTATATATGTGTGTATATATTCACATGCACATTCATATACACATGTGTATACACCTAAGTTATTTTGCATGAGTAAATTTTATCAATTAAAGCAAAAGCTACCATCAGACTTATGAGCTGGCTGTTAACCAATTATATGTGAACTGAATGAGAATGTTACTCTGGATATTTCTACTTGGCAAATAAGATTTGGCAACACAATTGTCTAGCTAATACCGCTCTCCTAGACAAAAGCTGTATAACTGCAACTGTCATTGATCTTACCAAATCAAAATATTATGAATGGAATATGTAGGAAGGAAAGAGACTGATGCTCAATGATCATACCTCATAAAAACATAGAATGCATTTTCCTATCCCTCCTCCTGATTATGGGTCACCTAGTTTGTACAATTAGGGTAAGAAAGAGTCAGCCAGTCAATATTCAACAGACCTAATTTCAAACAAGGTTCTCCTTAATAAGCCAAAAATATCTACTAGTGTTTTGATTTCTCGAGGTATAGGGCATATATTTAAATATGTGTCTATCTTAGCCCAGCTGGGCGTGGCTCAGCCGTTGAGCGTCGACTTGGGATCCAGGCGATAGGGGTTCGATTCCCGGTCAGGGCACATGCCCAGGTTGCGGGCTCGATCAATGACTCTCTCATCATTGATGTTTCTGTCTCTCTCTCTCCCTCTCCTGGCCTCTCTCTGAAATCAATAAAGATATATTTAAAATAAATAAATAAATAATAATAAATAAATATGTGTCTATCTTAAATTTTCATGTTTGGCTACAGGTGATGAGAAATATGAATGGGACCCACCCATACCCGCATTATGTTAAGCGGTGATATAAGGGACATACAGGAATCTTTGCATCAAGCTGATTAAGGCATTTTCATAGAAGGTTCTTAAAGGGTTATAATGCAAGTGTGCCAACTGGTTGAAAGCATCATCCTTGTACACATTTCCTAAAGAAAAAGCAAAACAATCAGATTATAAGAAATTAGGCTTTTGCTTAAAAAAAAAAGGGGTCCTTAGAGAAGTCAACCTCTTCCCTCTCTTGAGTCACTTCTACCATAACAATAGATTAGAATTACACTCGGCCAATGGTTTCAGTTATCTATCGCTATGCAACAAATCACATAATAGCATAAAACAACAATCATTTTATTATTCTTGATAACAAACATAACACCTGCTATTTGCATATTTACTATGGACCAGACCTTGTGCTTATAGCAACCCAAGAGGTCAATCCTATATTATGTGAAGATGACTCATCTGAGACACAGGAGGTTAAACTGTCCAACATCACAAGATTAGTATGTGGTACAGTTCAGCTGCAAGCCAAATGAGTCGGAGTCCAAGTAACCTCCTCTCCTCTCCTCTCTCCATTCCTTTCTCCTCTCTGCTCTCTGCTCTCTCCTATTCCTCTCTCTCTCCTACTCCTCTCTCTTTCTCTCTCTCTCTCTCACACACACACACACACACACACACACACTCCTCTCAGGGCTGAGCTTATTTGTCATTGAACTAAATGTGCAACTTCTGGTCACTGGTGAGAATCAATCTTTAGGGGAATAACAATGAAGGGTCAAGTAAGCACCTAAACAAAGCTATTTCACTCTTTAAATCAAGCTTTCAATATACTTCCTTGGCTTGATTAAATTACACATTTCCATCCTTAAATATCTCATAATTAATTTAGCAAGTCAGTCTCATCCTGACTCAACATCCAGAAAAATCTATGGTAATTGCATTTGCTACCCAGTGTTTTAAAGATAATCCTTTCCTTGGGGGCTCATTCAGTATCTTCACAATAGTTTCATGTACTCAGATGATATAGGAACTTCTACATTTCACACTCAAGAGAGAGACCTTTGGACATCACATTTAATTTATTATCACAGATTAGTGTAAAAGCATATTTTTCTCTGCTCACATATCCTCACACTGATAAGTCAATTTTGTAGAGGGCATATACCTCAATTGGTACAAAATAAACATCTCAAATACAGAGTTTGCTGTTCTAGCCCAACCTTTTATCTTTCATTGCTTTGCAGCATGGGCGAATGGATATCACACTGATGACCATATTTTACTGGCAGAACTAACAGCCAAACTATAGATCTACTGGGATTCTCAACTTAAA